CTGCTGGGACAAGCTCACAATACTGTGCCCAGCTCCATCCATGTTCATTCATTCATTCATTCATTCATTTTTTGTGTCAGGGATTGAACCTACAGTCTCATGCATGCTAAGCATGTGCTCTACCACTGAGTCACACACCCAGGCCCTCTTATCGATGTTTTGAAAAAAAGCCTGAGAATTACTATTATGTTAATATATACACTGAAGTGTATATTCATTCAGCAAACATTTTACATGCATTCTATGTAACAGGTTTCATTCTGGGGACTGAGAATAGAATCAGAGCCAAGATAATATCTGACCTCAGGAACCTGACATTGGAAAGAGGAAGGGACAAACACAGAGGTAATGATTTCAACTTGGAGTATGTTCCCAAACTAATGGGATCAGAATGACCAGGAGGGGAGGGCAACTCCCTTGCCATGGCCATCAGGAAAGGTCTCTTGATAGAGGTGACGTTCCTGGTGCTCAGAGCTGAAGGAGAAAAATAATCTGGCCCTGCAGTGAACTAGGGTAAGGCAGGAGGGCTACAAATTAAGCCTAATCTGGGCAACTTAGTGAGACTCTGTCTCAGAACAAGAACTTTTTTTTTTAAGGCTGGGGATGTAGCTCAGTGGCAAAGCACTTTTGTGAGGCCCTGGGTTCAATCCCCAGAATTGAAGAACAAAAAGAAAAAGGGGCAGAATGGGAGGAGAAAGAGGAGGGAGAGGGGAAGGGGAAAAGGAACAGAGGGAGAAAGAGGGAGAAACAAGAGGGGAAGATTCTTGTATTCCTGAATAATTAAAAGAGTAGTCACAGGCCAGGGATTTAGCTCAGTCGTGCCACAGCTACCTGACAAGCTCAAGGTCCTGAGTTCAATCCCCAGTACCAGAAAAAAAAAAAAAGATTAGTCACCAAAGGTGTTCCAAAGCAAGCTCTTCAGGACCTGAGGCCTGACAGGGAAGCACTGTCAGCCCAGAGCTGCTGGATCAAGGGTGGCATACCAAGCAGGCTGTTTTGGGAAAGCACCATGGATGAAAGATTAAGTCTATTCACATTGTTCCCTTCTATCCAAAGATCCTGCCTCTCCTCCACCTGGCAGGTTCCTTCTTACTCTCCAAGATGCAGCTCCAAGGTCAAGGTCAAGGTCAAGGTCAAGGTCAAGGCCAAGGCCTCCTCCTGCCCTCCTACTCTGCCTTCACATGTCCACTAGTCCATTACTATCCATTAGTCCATTATAAGTCTTTTAGAGTCACCTTTTAGTGACTAATGAACCAGTGAATGCTTAGAATTCAAGAACTTTCTCTTATCTGTTTGTGTGTCCATAGCACCTAGTTCAAGGCCAAGTATATGGCAGATGCTTGGTAAATATTTATGACATTAACAGTTAAGTCTTGGTCTTTATCCCTAGGCCACACATACCTCTTGTTCTAAAGCATATGGACTTCCTTTCACACCAGACACTCAGTAACCCACCCCACTTCACCCAGACCCCAGGCTCTGTGCAAACTCAGGACACTGACAGACCATGGGAATCTTCTACCAAGTTAGGTGCCCAAAGGAAGGTAAGGGCCTACTGGGTGTGGTCTAGACTTTCATTTCCCAAACTGGAGTTCCTGGAAAAGTGAAAATAAAGAAGTTTTGAAAAGGAGTCCTCCAGGCTAGACTGGGCTGGATGAAAGTTGCTTTGTTTCCTGCCACAATGGACGTGATGTAAAGAAAGCTCTGAGTTGAAGCAGCTTACTGAATTCACTCTTCCCCATGCCATGATGGCTCAGGAATGCTTTTCTTTCTTTCTTTTTTTTTTTTGTTAAATTATTTTACTGGTACATTTTAGGTATACAACACAATTACATTTCTCATTGGGAATTGTACCTTTACATAATGCATCTTGGTTCTTATTTTTTCTCCATTCCTAGCCCTCCCTTCACCCCCTCCACCCTTCCCTATTTACAAAGACTTTATTTCCATTTTTTCCATTTCTCATCATTTTTCCTTTCCCTTCTTTCCTTTCCCCTGCCCCTCCCACTATCTCTAACCCTTTGGATCTTTCCTTCCTATTTTGGAGGAATGCTTTTCTTGTGGTGTGCCAATTAAATCCTACAAAATAAAAACAGCACAGCTGCTTTTAAATGCCTACTGTGTGCCAGGTGCTACCCTGAGCACTTTCTCACTATTTTCACTTTACAGATAAAGTAACTGAGACCTAGGAAGCTTTGATAACTTGACCAGTGTCTTAAGAGACAGGTTCCCCAGAATCCAGGAAGTAGACTTCACAGTCCAGCTACAGCCCCTCACTCTACACCACTATGATGCGCAGTACCCAGTACAGTCCTGTGACTGCAGCCAGGATGCACAGAGCCAGGAGTAAGGAAAGTTTTGAAAAGTTTAAGTACTAATATAGTTGTCCCCCAGTATCTGCAAGGGATTGGTTCCAGACTCCCAACCCTTGCTAGTACCAAAATCCAGAGATGCCCACATCCCATACATAAATGTAATACTGTTTATATATAACCTACATATATGCTCCCATATACTTTCAGTCACCTCTAGATTACCAACGACACCTAATACAATGAAAATCCTATGTAAATACTTGTTATACTGCATTGCTTAGGGAATAATGCAAAGAAAAACTCTATATAAGTTCAGCATGCATGCAATGATCACAGGTGCTATGGTTTAGATCTTGGATGTCCCCCAAAGGTCCACATGTTGAAGGCTTGGTCCTAGACCCCTGCTGCTAATAGGAGGTGGGAGAACCTTTAGGAGGTTGGGCCTGGTGGGAGGAAGTTGGCTGGGTGTGGTCTAGACTTGCATTTCCCAAACTGGAGTCCCAAACTGGGGCATGACCTTAAAAAGGGTATTGGAACCCTAATCCCTTCCTTTCTCTTTTTGTTCTCTGGCCACTATCGGGTAAACGGACCTCCTTTACCATGTACTCCCACCATGATGTACTTTGCCACTACAGGCCCAAGGAACAGGGGCAAGTGACTATGGATTAAAACTTCAGCAACTATGAGCCATAGTAAACCTCTTCTGTTATTAAGTTGGTTATCTCAGGTAGTTTGTTATAGTAAAGTTAAGCTGACATAATAGGCCTAAATATATAGCACATCCTTAGCACCAATGTATTATTTTTTTCCAAATATTTTTTGACTGATCTGAGATTGGTTAATACCATGGGCACAGAGAATCCACAGATATAGAGGTCCAATGTACATGAATTATTTGCCTCTCCAGGCTCTTATCACATCCACTATAAACCAAGTTCATACTATAAAACAATCAAATACAGTACTCTACAGGACTCAAGTCCAAAGATAAATTACAAACCAAACAAGGTGTATAATTCAACCCAAACCCCAAGCATTTTGTGTTCCTCTGATGCCTCTTTACATTAGAATTTTTAAAGCTGACAATTTTTGGAGGCATTTATAAGGCACACTGAAGGTTAAACCATACCTTATCTTTGATTTGTCATGCATGTTGATAAATTCAAGTAAAACAGTAGCCAATAAAATTTAACCCTTACATTTATGGTTAATTTTAAACAAGGGTACAAGACAACTCTAGGGGGAAATAATAGTTGAAAAACAAATGATTCTGGGACAGCTGGATATCCACATACAAAATAATGAAGCTGAATCCTCACTTTGTATCATACATAAAAACTGAAAACGAATCACAGATCTAAATGTCAGAGCTAAAATTAATACTCCTAAAGAAAATACAGGAGCAAATCTTTGTGACCTTAGATTAGGCAATAGCCTCTTAGATATGACAACAAATACAACAAAAAAAGATAAATTAAACTACTTCAAAATTAAGAACTTTTGTGTTTCAAAGGATATAGTCAAGAAAGTGAAACAACAATCTACAGAATGAAAGAATATACTTGTAAATCATGTATCTGATAAGGAACTTGTTTCTAGAATATATAAAGAACTCTTACAATTTAATAATAATAAAGGAATAATTAATTACCCAATTGGAAAAAATGAGCAAATGATATAAATACACTGGTACTTCAGGTCACAAACTTAATCCTTTCCACAATTCTGGTCACAAACCAAATTGGATGAGAAACAAATACTTACACAAATGATTATAGCAACACTATTCACAACAGCCAAAACATGGAAACAGCCCACATGTCCATCAACTGATAAATGAATAAATAAAATGTATTCTATGCGTACAATGGAATATTATTCACAATAAAAAAATAAGTACTGATAGGTGATGATGATCCAACATGGACAAATCTTAATAACATTATGAAAGAAGTCAGACCCAAAAGCTATCACATTGTATGATTCCATTTATATGAAACATTCAGAATAGACAAATCTAAAAAGACAGAAGGAAATTAGTGGTCGCCAGGGGCTGGAAAAGAAGGACAAGAATGGGTAGTGACTGGTAATGGGTATAGGAATTCTTTTTCAGGTTGATGAAAAAGTTCTGAAATTAAAAATGGCAATTGCTACATAATTTTTTGAACATATTAAAAATAACTGAATTGTGCACACTAAATGCATGAATTGTATAGGATAGGAATTATATGTCAATAGTGCTGTGTTTTAAAACATTCTAAGGGAAGGACATTATATAACTGCTAATGGGTTTCAGTGGATGGTGTGTGATGGGTACTGAGTGCAGCTTCAGCCCACAGAACCTCTCATCTCACTAGAACAAAACTGGAGTTTCTCCAACAATAACCTCCTCCTTCCTGAAAGACCCTTTCCAAGTATGGGCTCCTGTTCAGCCTTTTCCCTACAGCACTTAGAACAACCTGAGGACTTCTTACCTGCTTGGATCTTGGCTTACTACCTGCTCCCCTAGGGTGGGAGCCCCAGAGCACAAGCACCTAGCTCTGCTACTGTTGGCAGTCCGGTGCCTACAGCTTCTGTCCAATAGGGGTTTTGCCAGGGTAAGCAATGACCAAGCAGGCTGGCAACACACAGGTCTAAAGAGAGAGGGGAGGTGGCAGCAAGGTGCAGACATGAAGACAGACTTACTTCTGTAGGTTGGCCATCTGCTTCACAGCTTCCACAGCCCCTGGCAAAGGCTCAAGTTCAAAGAAGAAATTCTTGGACTCCCAGATGCTAATGGCCTTCTCCTGAGAAGTTGAGAGAAGCAGGTTACCACAAGGGACCTCAGAGTCTTACTGCCCTCAGCTGGGGCAGCCTGTGTGACTTGGAAGGGCCACCCACAAGAAGGCGGTGTCTACCTACCCCTCACGCTCATACACTCCTGAGGATATTCTTCCTAGGGGAAGTACACAGATTTTGTGTGTGCTCTGGCCCCTTTCCTGGAAGGATCTCCCTTCTGTGAGGATCCAGTAGAGACCAGCTGAGGTGTTAGGGTCTTTGTGGGGAGACACTTGGAGCTGTCTGGGACCTGAGGCCAGTCATCATGGCCAGGCATTTGCTGGACTCGACTTTAATGGCCAGAAGCATGGTGGAGGTCTGTGGCTGGACCAGGAATGGCCATGGAAGGACAGTGATTAGACTAGAGAGCTGGAGAGGCTCAGAGATAATTACATGCACCATAGGGTCACAAGGGACAAGAAGGGGATGCAGGCAAATGGATAATTGGGAGGGCCGCAGGCTCCTCCCCATATCAATCAGAACAGTACTACTTTTATTTGGTTTATGTTTAGGTGCCAATACTTTAAAAAAGAAAGGATTCTGCTGATTTTAAATGTGAAAGCAAAACCCTCATTTTACCTATGAGAAAACTAAGGCTCAGAATGGCGAGGCTATATACCTGATGTCACATAGCGAAACAGTGGCCAAGCTGGGAGTAGATCTCCTTCTCCCCCACTCTCAGGCTATTTCCTATCCTCCTTATGTTATAGGGCCAAAACTGAGTTTTCAGAATGCAGCACCTTTTCTAGGCCAGGCATGGGGAAAGTGACACATCTCAGCTTTTGAGGAATAGGATACTAAATCCCATATACGGGGTTCATGAAGTGCTTCTGCCTGGTCAATAGCCCTGTGAACAGCTAAACAAAAGCTTCTTGCTAAAATACATTTTTCTCATCTGATCCTCACAACCCAAGACCCAAGAGGGCTGAGGATTGTTAGAGTTTACAGAGAAGGAAGGTTTTTTTGAAGGCTGCCTAGGGGTGACATTGTCAGGTCTTGAACTCACATATGGAGGCAGTGTGGACAGATGGAATGGGAAAGTCTTGGCCCTTGCTGTGTGACCCTGTGTTGACCACTTCCCCTCAATGAACTTCTCTCCTCATCTACAGAATGGAGATGGGAACCTCATCCTTCCTTACACGGTCTTCATGAGGATGTAACGGATACACAGTCCCTGGTATTGAGCCTTTGATGTAATGACAGCATACCAGCACACCTTTCCCTGACACTACCTTACTGTGAAACCCAGGGTAGGGAAATTGCTCTCTCTGGCCACAGTTCATCTATCCTTACAGTTTAAAATTCTAAGTTAATTAAGATAAGCTTTTCTTTCACCTCTGCCCTGCTTTCCTCAGCAAAGTACTGTGAAGATCAAAGGGAATAAAGACAAAGAAAACAGTCAGCCTTCTCTATCTGCAGGTTCTGCATCTCTGGATTCAAGTCACAGATTGAAAATATTTGGAAAAAAACTGTGCTGATACTGAACATGCAGACTTTTTCCCTTGTCATTATTCTGTAAATGATATAACTATTTATATAATATTTACATTGGATTGGTTAATATAAATTATCTAATAGTGATTTAAAGTATACAGGAGGATTTCATAGATCACACACAAAACACCATTTTATATAAAAGGCTTGAGCTTCTGTGGATTTTGGTATCCAGGGGGAAGGAGTACTGGAACCATCCATCCTAGGAACCAAGAGACAATATTTTATAAAGCTGGATTGGTTTCTTTAGTTTTTGGAGGTTTTGTTGTTGTTGTTGTTGTTGTTGTTGTTGTTTGGTACCAGGAATCAAACTCGGGTCCTTGAGCTTGCACAACAGGCGGCAAAACCACTGAGCTAAATCCCCGGCCCAAGTTTCTTTAGTTTTAACCACAGATAGTTGGCCATCTTGGCCACAGAGAGAGTCAGAGACATCCTGCTTGGGAAAAGAAAGAGATGTAGGAGAAATCAGCAGGTTGTTCCTGGAGTACCCTCCTTTCTGCCCCATGAGTGTTGCTCCTTTGCCTTATGCTTAGAAAACAGGAATTTTCTCCCTTAGACCTGGAGTCTGGATCTCTGTACAGAGGGCTGTAAAAGCTACTGTACTTTTCAGAGGTGGGGTGGACTTAACTTCATTCCACTAAGACACTGCTGGGAGGAAACAAGGTGTCCCAGATCCCAATGCTGGGCACTCATCTGCAAATGAACACACACAGTGCAGGGTCTATCACTGAGGTTGCAGGAATTACATGGGTATTTCTTACAGTTTAAAGTTTTTAATTAGGTCTCAGCACCAGGAGAAATCAGGGTACCTAGTTCTGTTGAAGTCACCTTTAGAAGAGCCTGGTGTGAATGAAAAGAAACTGCACTTGATTTTTTCTTTCAACACCTGTCCCTCAGCAAACCAAATTATTGTGAAGGTGCCTTGTTGAAGTCCGAAGAAATGTTGCTCATAGAGAGAACAGACAGAGAACAGAACCTTAAGGTAAGAAAAGCTAAATGTGCTTGTCTGTCCTGGGCCCTTTACTATCACAGGACTGGGGGCAAGAGTCTTCATCTGCAAAGAGCAGATAACAATGCCTACTTACAGAAGAGATAAGGCAATTAATTTAGGGTTACAAAATCCCTAATCCTCCTCCTCCTGCCCACCATCAAACCCCTAGACTGATGGCCAACCAAGGGATGCCAGAAAAAAACCTGCCTCTTTAGTTTGTGCACGGCAAAATCCCCAGTTCCTTTCACAATTTACAAACTGAGCTTCCTGCCTAGATATTTCCAACTATCCACGAAGGGCACGGGCTGGGAGAGGGGTGTCAAGTGTTTGGTAGTGCCAGCTTTACATCAGGATAGGCTCGTCCCACCCTGACCATTGACTCCCTGTGTGACACCTTCGCTGGGCCTCCAATATCACTGGAAGCTATGCTTTCAAGAAAGAGGATAAAAAAAGAAGGGTAAGAACAACCATCAAATTCATGGAGAGGAAGAAACAGGCATGTTACTGTGGTAGGAGTGAAAGAGGACTTAATTTAGAGTGTTTCGTTCGCTCTTTCAAAAATTTAACAAACGACCTAAGCCCAAATATACCAAAAATTTAAAGTCAGCTGGAATTAAGAGTTAGGTATGTTATTATTAGAAGCCAACAGTAACTGCGCGCAGGGCTGCGCTCTCCCAGCTTGCTGTCTCCCCCATCCTCCCGGGACCCTATTTGTGAGAACCTTCTCAAGACTGGTGCGGTGACCCGCCCTCCAAGGTCACGCGGGTTGCTGGACTCCAGAGCCCGCGCAAAAGGCTCTCCCTGCCACGGGCTTGGCGGGCGAGCTCAGTTTCCCCGCCCGGGGTGTGGGGTCCCAGGGGGTCGGGGTGGGGGATGCTCACGCTCAGCCCGGGCCGCAAGCGACCGTACTGCTCCGACACCCAGAAGCCGCGCCGGTCCTCCAGCGCGACGAAGGGCAGGTCGGGGAAGCGCGCGCGGAACTTCTTGAGGAAACCGCCCTCGAAGTCGGCCAGCACGCCGTCCATGTCCACCAGCACCCGCAGGGCGCGGCTGCCCGGCCCCCCCGACACTCCGCGCCTCTCCGCCGGGCCCGCCGCGCCACGGGGGCGCCGCGCGCACCAGCCGCCCAGCCGGATCATGGCCCCTCGCGGGTGCCTGCCGTGGACGCCGGAGCCTCGGCCGCGCCGGGCTGCCAGGGTCGGCCGGGAGACATGACAGCCTCCGAAGAACGGCGCTCGGCGGCTGAGGTGCACTGGCGGCGCGCGGCACCCCGGCGCTGGGCTCACGGGGCTCGAGCGCGCAGACTCCCGCCCCAGAGAGAGGCCGTGGCGCGCGCCCCGCCCTCTGCGCGGCCCCATCACCCTTAAAGGGACAAGGGCCCGGCGGAGGCGGGGCCCGAGGGCATGGCTTCGAGGACAGCTCTGGGTGCTGGCGGCCCCTAGGGTGTGGTGTCTACACTCAGCGGCTCTCTGTCCCATTCTCTCAGGAGCGGGCCTAGGCTCCCTTCTTCTACTGCAGCAGCAGAGCATGGAGGAGCCGTGCACGCATGGAGCAGACCTATGTCCTTAGACACTGTGTCTGGTTGTGAGCCAAATAGAAGTTCCAGCCATTATGGAGCTTAGATTTTATTTTTTTTATTTTTTGTACCTGGGATCGAACTCAGGACCTTGCACTTGCGAGGCAGGCAACAGAACCACTGAGCTAAATCTCCGGCGGAACTTAGATTTTAGAAGGGGAGACAGACAAAAGGACAAAGGAACCAAAACAGGTTGATGTGCACCCTGACAGCCTCTCTGCTTCATGGTAAATGTCCGGGGAGAGATAATAGGAGAACAAATACCATGCGAATACCAAACACAGCACAGTCTCAGTAAAACTGGTGATTTTCAAGTAAATCTGTAAATAAATAGTACATACTTGTGTATAAGGCTGCTTTTCTTTTTCTTTACAGAAAAAAATACCTTAAGTCACAGAGCAGAGCAAATGGGGTGATAGGTGCGGGACTGGCAAGGCCATCAGGGCAGGCTTCTCCAGAAGGTGATACTCCAGCAGAGACATAATGGTGGGAAAGAATATGCAAGAACCAAAGAGATAGCCGGCCACAGTGATGGGTACCTGTGGTCCCAGCACTCGGGAGGCTGAGGCAGAGAAGGATGGCTTGAGCACAGGAATTGGAAGTCAGCCTGGGCAACACACCAAGACTTCCTCTCAAAAACAAAAAAAAACCAGATAAGTGGTCCCATCAGTAAGGGCAGCAAACTCAAAGGCCTGAGGCTGGAAGTGAAGACTTAGGAGGAGGAAGAATACCAATGAAAGCATAATTTGCATTCATACATTTATCTAGCAAATCCTGAGTATTTCTAATGTGCTCAATGGTAGATACTGAGCAGTGAACAAAGAACCTACCCTTGTGGAACTAGAACTTCTGGATTTTTCTGAAACTGGAGGAAGGAAGGGTGGGGTGGTTTAACCTAAAGCCAGAGGACAGTCCAAGGGCAGCAGGAAAGCAGTGTGGCATAGTTGGAAGAATATGGTTGGGCCTCAGGCACAACTGGGCACTCTTGTGGTATCTCCTAGATTGTATGCCAAGCCCCTTGGTTTCCTCACCAATATATCCCCAATACCTCAAACAGTGCCTGGAATATAGTATGTGTTGAATAAAATCATTCAAGCATATATACGACAGTTTTTTAGTGCCTTGTACAGAACAGAAGGTGGAGGCTGGCTCTGATTTATCCCTGAATCCTGAATAAATTCATAAATTCATGACAGTAACATTTTCTGGTTGTTTTTTTTTTCTTGGTACTGGGGGTCGAACTCAGGACCTTTCACTTGTGAGGCAGGCACCAGAACCACTGAGCTAAATCCCTGGCCCTCTGGTTGTTTTTTTGTTTTGTTTTGTTTTGTGGGTTTTTTTGGTACTGGGGATTGAACTCGGGTCCTTGCGCTTGCGCAGCAGGCGGCAAAACCACTGAGCTAAATCCCCAGTCCCCTCTGGTTGTTTTTTGACACCTCCTCCTGACTGAACTAAGTTTTCTCACCATGCTTCTCTACTAAGATAGTCATTCTTTAATTGCATCACAATGATTTTCTCATAATTTTATTACAAAAACATTTCAAACATACAGAAAAGTTGAAAGAAGCATGCAATGTGATTTCATGTGCCCTGGATTTTGTAATTAACAGGTTGCTGTATTTACTTTAATACACATTAGTGTCTCTACCCATCCATCAACCCATCTTACTCTTTGATGCTTTTCAAAATAAGCTGCAGACATCGGAACACTTTGCCCCTACATCTTATAGCCTAGGTAGTTTTAAGTGAGTTCAATGCATTTAAGGGTAAATTTTATAAGCAAAATGCACAGATCTTAACTTTACCATTGTGCTATAGCTTGGGTTTTGAGTGTCCTCCAAAGGCCCATGTACTTAAGGCTTCATCCCCAGCTTGGCACTATTATGAAGTGATGGAAATCTTTAAGAGGTGGAGCCCACCTTGAGAGTTGGGAGGTCATAGGTCATTGAGGCCATGTGCTTGAAGGAGACATTAGAACTACATCTCTTGCTATCTCTCCTTTCCTCCAGCCATGAAGTGAAGTTTGCTCCACACCAGGATGTGCTGCCAAGCCACAGTCCTAAAGCAACAGGATCAAGTAGTCATGGACTGAAACTTCCAAAATTGTGAGCCAAAATAAATCTTTCATCTTTATAGTTGATTACCTCAGGTACAGTAAAACCTTGGTTTGCAAGCATAACTGGTTCTGGAAATATGCTTATAATCCAAAGCACTTGTACATCGAAGTGAATTTCCCCATAAGAAATAATAGAAATTCAGGTGATTCATTCCACAACCCCAAAATATTCATATAAAAATGATTACAATGCTATAATATATTACAAAATATAAAGAAAAATAAATAAATAATCTGCACTTACCTTTGAAAACCATGATGGCTGGTGTGAGGGAGCCAAGAGAGAGGAGGGTTATTACGTAGAACAACTTTCACTATCACTAATGGAATCACTGCTATCTATTGACTCAATGGAATCTTTTTCATGCAACTTTGAGATGGAACCTATCCAACTTTAACATGAAATCCATCCAACTTGCTTCTGCCTCCTTTTGAAGATTTTGTGGAAATGTGGCATTGCATTGTAGACAGATTCATCACACACTACTATAGCTTTATTTGGGTGTGGTTTTGTACAAAATTTTGCACTATTTTCCAGATCTCATCTGAAGTGAGAGATTTGTCCACCTTCTTCTCCTCCTCTGCAGACAAGCTCTACCCCATAACCTCTTGCTACTAGGAGGTGATCACCGACAGTTCCTTAGTGAGAGAGACAGAGAGAGACATAGGGAGAGAGAGAAAGAGAAGAACCATTGGCACAGTTGTGATCATGTAACATTTGATGTCACATACTACTCGTATTGTGAGACATCACTCATTTTTTTTTTTTTTTTAATTTCTGGTACTGGGAATTGAACTCGGGTCCTTGTGCTTGCGAGACAGGTGGCAGAACCACTGAGCTAAATCCCCAGCCCATTCATTTATTAAGTTAAAATTTAACAGAAATGTTTGCATGTCTTGTGGAACATTCACAGAACAAGTTACTCATAATTCAAGGTTTAACTGATGTCAAAATAACTAGTTACTTTAGAAATAGAGATTTTTATTTTCTTCTGTATTTTCAGAAATTTCTACAGTCATCAATATGACCTCAAATATATTATTATGTATTTAAATATAAATATCATATACTATTTGTCTTTAGAAATAAATAGAAACCTTACTGGTTACCTAATATGTAATTAGATATCAAATAGAGAAATAGATATGTTGAGAGAGAGAGAGCTCCGTGGCAAAAGAACTGAAAAAATAAACAAAATATTGACAAACATAAGTAACTATTTCTGGGTGCTCTGATAATGAGTGTTTATCAGGAATTTTTTCAAGAGATTTTGTATGAGTCTATTTGTGTGTTTTCTCTATTTTCCAAAATATATGTCATGCAAATGTTTTTCATTTGTAATAAAACAGTTGCCTCAGTCTGTTTTCTGTTGCTATAATTGAATACCACAGACTGGCTAATTTAGAGGTGTGTTTGGCTCATAGTTCTGGAGGCTGGAAGTCCAAGAACATGGTGCTAGCCTCTGCTCAGCACTGGCAGGGCCCTCCCTGCTGCATTGTACCATGGCAGAGGGCATCACATGGAGAGACTGAGCAAGCAAGCCAGAGAGTTTGCTTTTATAGCAAAGCTACTCCCTAGAGTACCCATTAATCCATTAATCTGTGAGCAGATTAATCCATTCATGAGGGTAGATCCCTTAGAACCCAGTCACTTCCCAAAGACCCCACTTCCAAATATCATTAGCATATGACTTTGGGAGTTAAGTTTCCAATACATGGCTTCTAAGGATACATTCAAACCATGGCCACAGTTATTTTTTAAAAATTTGAGATAATGTAGGACATCCTAGAATTAAGCAGTGCTCCCTTTTCCATCTTTCTAATATCAGTTCCTCTTTTCACCTGAGAGGCAGAGTCACCAAGTCCTGCTGACTAGTTATAGTGTGTTCTGTTTGTCTCCTTTGTTTCTGCAGCCACTTCTCCAAACTTAAACTTGTATTGTTCAGCCACTTCTTTCATGAAGACATTTTCCTGTTCAGAGACATCCAACAGTTCCCAAAACCTGTGAACCTGGAGTTGAAAGTTCCCCACCCCCTTCTCCACCAGGCATCTCATCATTTTATTTCTTCATCTATTCCTTACCTTATAAATCACAACCAAGCTGGCCTATTTTCCACTGTTCCAAATGTACTCTGTATTTTTCTATCTTTTTTTCCCCTCAATCTACCCCAACTACTCCATGCCCAGAAATCTGTCCCCTTTCTCTGTGTATCCTTAAAGGAAGAGCTCAAAATGCACCCTGTTTTGTGTACTAGTCAGCCTCCCATCACTGTAATAAAATACCTGGTTTATTTGGGCTCACAGTTTTGGAGGTTCCAGCCCAAGATTGGCAGACCTATTGCTTTGGACCTGTGATGGGGATGCCACAGGGCAATGATGAGGAGGATGTGGTAGAGCAAACTGCTTATCTCATGACCAGGAAGCAGAAAAGAGAAAGAGAAAGAGGCTGGAGTCCCACAATCACCTTTATGGGCATGGGCCCAATCACCTAACCTAGTGGCTTCATCTCTTAAAGGTCCTACCGCCTCCCCAGTAATGCAACCATGGGGACCAGGCCTTTAACACCGGGGCCTTTGCAATTCCTGACCAGACCATCTTGGAGATAATACAGTCTTCTTTTCCAG